AATCTCTATTGAATAAGTGATTGCCTTGGGTGATGAATATGAAATGAAGGAGAATTTGGTGAATATAGCATAGGCATTTGCTTTATCCACTACACTCGAGTTAAATGTTGTGTTCTAGAGGTGATGGTCCATTCTTCATTCTAGATAACTATTGGAGATTCATAAATGATGACATCCTCTGGAGGTTCTGTGCATAGAAATTCTAAATAATTGTAATCCCAAAAGAAATATAAAAAATAATGTACTGTATTATTCACACATGAACTCAGAGTCATGTATTTTTTTAAAGGGTCATATATTTTTTAAAGGGTTGTGTATTTTTTAAAATCTTCCCCGCAACGAAATCATTGCTTCCTTTATTATTATAGTTTATACGATGACACCATTTCATATGGTAAGAGTAGCACTTCATTGCACTTAGAGAGTAGATCATGGTCATATGGAGATCACATAGTTCTTATTAGCAACAATGACAATATAAATAAAAAAAAATCCAATATTTGATAACCTACTCCTACCTCTTATTTAATGGAGGTCTACATCATATATACCATGTCATAGATTCCCTCTTGGTATTTCTTTCCATGGGTTTATTTTAATTGTGGAATCATTTTAATACAAAATGTATAAGACATGATAATGTTGAAATATTACTTTACTTGGGCAACTAAGGTTTAATTGAATTGTGTTAGTGGAATGTCATGAACTACACCATTCACAAAATGACCAACAAGTTTTTTCATTAACCAGTTGGTTTTAGTTCTTAGGATTGTTTCAAACACATTTTTCTATTATGGGAATATAAAATTTATTTCTTTCTTTCTAGGCTTTAATAATATTATGTATAACCTAATACGAAGTACTTGCAATTTATCATTATTAGCATTGATGTGAATTTTGATTGGGAAGTCAATAAGTTTGGAATGAAATAACATGGATATGGTGAGGAAACATAGCCAACCCAAGGAGCTCGCCACCACTTGTTTGGCCATATCTCCTTCGTTACTTAACGAAATTGCGAGCCGTTTGTTGGGCTAGATTCGTATCGTCCGGGGATACAACTTTGGTTCAGAAAGTATTTCGAGATAATAGATGGAAGATTTCAGTTTTTACCTTGAAGTTGCTGCTACGTTTTGAACTCAAGATTTTGGATACTTGGATGGTTCCTTGCTTGCTTCTCCTTCTTCCTTAGCATACATCCATGGAGCATTTTTATGTTTTATTCCTCCTTAGTTGCTGCCCACAGAGAGAGAGATGAAGAATGGAGTTGTGATGGTGGATGGTGATGATGATGTATAACAGTGATGATGGTGGTGGGATGGGATAAAAGAGATTTTGGAGTGTTGTGGTGTAGTGGGTGGAGCTTTGAAAAATTGGGTTTGTGAGTAGCAAAAGGAAGCTACATGATTGAGGAAAGGATTTGGGAAATAATGTTTTGGACATTTGTCCAAACTGACTAGTTTATTTCAAACGGTACACGCTTTTTCGCCCAAACTGCTCCGAATTGAAAACGGATTGTGTTTTTGGAATCAGACTGTCAAAACTAGAATTTTGATGTAATCAAAATATTTTTCTGAGAACTTTTATTTTTTCTCAGTGTTCAAGTCTGTCTGAGTCATAAATTAATTTTATAATATGAATGAGATAAAAGTATATGAATTAAATCCAAATGATAATTATGCCGTTGTCAAGTGTCAAAGATTAAGATTTCTAATCTTATGAAATCCCTTTTGAATTGAGTTTAGTTTATGGGTCAAAGTTACAAATTTTAATATTTAAAATCGTCATAGCTTGAAACATATAAATCAGATTGATTCATAAAATGTTCTGTTGGATTCGTCTCCTCGAGACATATCCATAAAAATAAGTTTTTAACAAAAAGTCCTGATTTTGAAAATCCATTTATTTTTGGTCAAATGTATAAATATTCTTTATTGGACAAAAACTATTCTTGTTTAATAATAAATTCTAGGCCTTATTTTGTGGCGTTACATTTCTTCCCCCTTAAAGAAATTTCGTCCCCGAAATTTCCCTAGGTGAGAAGTCATTTAAATGATGATGTACAAAATCATGAATATTTATTGTTTTTATAAAACACAAATTTTGAAAAATTGTTTTCTCTTTCTTTTATTGTATGTTATGATTATGACATGTTCTCTTACGAGAAAAGATATACGCGGGATGATAGATGTAACGTGTTTAGATTTCTTTCGTAGAGACTTGCGTCTAATATACTCTTAGACTTGCTCTTGTCGTTGTAAGAGTTTTCAGGAGCTCTTGTATGGGTTGCGTTTCTTGAATGTGGGGTAATTTACAAAATTTCCTTTTTGAAATTCTTCTAGAACCATTCTTAGACGACTTTGTCTGGAATGTTGGTTTCACAAATTACGCTTCGTTGTTTACAAGCTGGAATGAATTGTATTCAAGTTTGACATTTTTACGTAATGGTATTTTGGGGAATGACTATTACCATAGTCATCATTCTAAGTTTCTTAGATGAATACGTAATTATAGTTTCAGAACTTGAACTCTCATTAGCGATCCTTAATGAAGTTGCACTGATTAACATGATGTCAATAAGCTGATTAAAGCTTGTTTGTAACAGTTAACACATATATCACACTCATATATAACAATAATATATATTTTATCACATTGTAATGATTGGATGAATGTTTTGATAACACTTGCTATTTTGTCATTGTTTTCCTTATCAAGATGATATGTAGTCATTCTTGAATACTGATTTTCTGATTGATGATTCCAGAATTGCCTTGGAATTTCAGACTTTCTCAACAATTATGATAGAGCTTCGTGTTCGAAAATTATAATATTAGTGTATTCGTCATATCACTAATATTCTTACTTCACACAACAGTTGCATTACCTATTATCAAAAACAAGATAAGTTATACACATAGTCATATTCTAATATGTTTGGGATTCTACATGCATGATTTTTGGAGATCGGTATCATAAAACATCTTTTTGGTTTGATGAAGAATTATGAGTTAAAACAAGTTCTCAATGATTTGTTAAAAAAAAATTCAATCTTTTCAAGATTGATCAAATGAGATGCTTCAAGTGTGTAATTAACACAACAAGTTTGAATATTTCAAGGATATAACTCACAAGATACAAATAGAGCGTTTGCGAATTGTCATTGCAAATCGTAGGTTTTCATCCTCTAATGTTTCACTCTTTGGAAGTTACTCAAGGGGTCATTGTCTTAGGTAAATAACCACTTTGACTCTTGGTCTCGGATTTGAATGTATTTCAGGATAATGAGCCTAACTATTCATGAGTCTCAATATGTCATGTCGTCAGCAGACTATAGTATTGGCGAGTACATTTTTGTCTGGAGCGAATCCACTTTCTTTTACGTTTTTAGGCTGGTGATAATTAGTTCTCCATCAATGGTCCAGTTTCAGAGTCTATATATATATATAATTGTGGCAAGAACGTCTCACATTCTCACATTATGGAAGGAACTTCTCAAGCTCTTTCTAATAACATAAGATTCGTTGGTCTACTTGGTAGTCATGCTCTTGGTAGCAATAAAAGGTTCTTGACTACAGCGGTCGATCTAAGACGGGAATTGGTAAGGCGAAAAATTAGACTTACCTACGGAGGAGGCAACGTTGGCCTTCAAGGAGCTGTAGCTTCAACAGTCTATAATAATGGTGGTAGAGTCAGAGGTTTCATACTAGGGTATATAGCAACACGACAAGTTTATGGACCTACGTACGGTGTAGAGTACACCGTCTCCAGCAATTACTATAAGTATTTTGAGATGAATCATATTGTGGAAGCCTTCATTGTACTCCTTGGAGGGATTGACACTATGGAAGGTTTATTCACTTTGATCTCATGGGCATCCGAAGGGTTACACAGTAAATCCATTGGTCTTTTGAACATTGACGGTTATTTCAATAACCTTATCAAGTTTCTAGATGATGCGGTGAGGCAGAACTTCATGGCTTTGAATTAGAGGAAACTATTCATTTCTTATTTCTTTGTTGATGCCCTTTTGGACAAGCTAGAGTTTGCTAGGGCTTTCCCGGGTCCTGGTGCTAGTTATGACGAGTTTGCAAATCCTGGAAGATTAGACTTAGAGTTGCATGCAATATTTCCAAGTTGAAATAATATTGTCCATGTACGTTATGCGCTAGTCACAAATATCGTTCTAAGCTGCATGGCTAGTGCATTTCAGAAGAATATTTATTTTCCAACATCAAAATGTACCATGTAAATATTAATCCTTTTCTTTATCTTCGAGTCTTTCACTGTTAGTGTGACTGTTTCACATCTTGTTTTGTATTGTCATCTTGTTACGACCTTTAACGTCAATAGGGTATACGAACGAGTCAATTATCTTAATATTTTTATGTAGATTCACTCCTATAATGCGTTTCAGATTCGATACATATGTCATATTCAATCTGGTTTGGGAGGTTCTTTTCATGCTCTTAGAAAACGACAGATTCACTTTTGGAGAATTTGTTCACTTCTTATCGGAGAAAGTTCTTTCTTCAACGTATTCTTTGGCTTGATAGAAGTTGATTCACATCGTTCGCTTAGCTACTCGCGTATTAAGACATACGAATATGTCGTGCCTATCAGGCTTACAATCCCTCTTCTTGATCTTCTGATGTTGACTGTGATTGTTGAAGAACTTTTTAAGGTAATCTAAACTCTATTGCAATCGGGTCTATGAGGATATTAGAAACTCAAAGGAAGCAAGTTTTCAATGAGTTATGCATGTGTGTTATGCCATAGTAACTTACTTGTTGATTACCTTCCCGGGGCAGAGATGTCGATTAGGATGCGGATGCAGGACTTTGAAAATACTAACTCAATGATCTGAAAATTGTTTTGCTCCGATACCAAAATGTAACACCCCAATTCGTATAACCCGGAATTACATGAATTAAGGTGAAACCGGAGTTAAATAAAACTTTCTCTTGACATTTGAAAATGACAATTTATTATAAATGTTAAATTTACAGACTCTGGATCGCGACCCGTTTAAAAATATTTTCGGAGTAATGCGGAAGTACAATAATAATCAAATCATGACACATTTAAAATCTTGATGATCAAACATTTGCCTGTCATCCTTGCATCTCCTCTGACTCATTGCCTTCCGGGAGTGGTTCCATCATTATCTTCTTGTTACCTACGTGTAGTCAACGAAAAATACAAACTACACGCTCAGCGAAACCGCTGATTGGTACCACGCTAGAATTGTAGAATGATTCACACACATATACATATACACATATATACATCCACAAAATGTACAATAATATTCATGATATGGCACATTATATCATATGATCAATTTGATGACGCGTGATGATAAATATTTATTGATGATTACATGATGACACATTTAATCAATTTGCTTGTTCGTGAGGATGCTTACATGACACCTATGTAATCAATATAATTGTTCTTGATGATGATTACATGACACCTATGTAATCAATAGATTTGTTCTTGATGATGATTACATGACACTTATGTAATCAATGTACTTGATGATGATAACATGATGCATGATCCTATAACGCACAAGGAACGACCTTGCCCTATGAGATTCGCCCATTTGGTACGACGAACTCATGCCACCTTAGTCTCATGAATGAGGTGAGACTAGAAAAATAGGGGTGGTACTCGAAAGCCTGATTACCATGTACGTACACTAAGCCCGGTCAGTGATGTCGGACTGCTAAGTCCCGCACAATCACGCTACAAGAGACGCACGAGGCATGATCTCTTACGCATGCATATGATGTGATATGCTTCAATATGAATGATGAAATGAATGATATGATGTGAACAATTTGCAAACAATATGAATATATAATCATGCATAAGTTTATTTGGTTGAAACATAATTAAAATATCATTTAATCAACCTACTGGGCTCGGAACGGTCGACCGTTTGGCACGGCGGTCGACCTTGATCTTCACTTCGTTGGAACGGCGGATCACCGTGACGGTCGACCGTGGTTGACCGGCGGTTGACCGTTGTTGACTGACTGCGGATGGCGGACTTCGGCTGGCTGGCGGCGGTCGACCGTTCTGCTGGCAGTCGTGGTCCGTTTCGAAGTTTAATACGACGGTCGACCGTTTGCATCGACCGTTTGGGTCTGCGAATCTTTCTCTTGATATTTTGATTGTTCAAAATACTTCTTTAAGTCTTTTAAACACCTTTGATTAACATATACATGTTGTTGGGTTGATTTCAAATGTTTATATATACTTAGGTATATATATTAACTTTATGAATTTGGTGTATTTTGGTCTTAACACATAGATGACATATATATGCTTCACATATATATTTTGGAATGATTTCAACATATGGATTAATATATATGTTCATGTATGTATGTGATGAATGATTCGACAAGTCTAACGCAAGGGTACAGACCTAGAAATCATCGGCCGAAACCTTACGGATGACCGGGAGTGGAAACAACATCGAAATTCACCAACTTTGTCATTCTCATCACAATTTGATAGCCTGCCGTATTTTGGGCATATATCCATCGTTTCTTCACGGAATTGCAAACCGTTAGATTCTGTGCATTCATAAGATGTAAGGCTATAACTTTCGTATAAAAAGTATTTCGAGTTAACAGATGTAAGATAACGTAAATTGGACCTGAAGTCAAGGGAAAGTTGCTGTCCAGAATTTTTGAATACTCCGGTGAACAACGGTTCCGACAATTAACTCATTAACTTCAATATTCCAACACCAAACCTTCTCTACAATACCTTCCGGACGTTTCTAACAATTGTTAGAGAGTTTATGGTAAGTGTTTGGAATGAAATAACATGGATATGGTGAGAAAACATAGCCAACCTGAGGAGCTCGCCACCACTAGCGCAGTCCCGGTATTTTGGGTATATCTCCTTCGTTACTTAACGAAATTGCGAACCGTTTGTTGGGTTGGATTCGTATCGTCCGGGGATACAACTTTAGTTCAGAAAGTATTTTGAGATAATGAGTGGAAAATTTCAGTTTTTACCTTGAAGTTGCTGCTACGTTTTGAACTCAAGATTTTGGATACTTGGATTGTTCCTTGCTTGCTTCTCCTTCTTCCTTAGCATACATCCATGGAGAGTTTTTATGTTTTATTCCTCGTTAGTTGCTGCCCACAGAGAGAGAGATGAAGAATGGAGTTGTGATGGTGGATGGTGATGATGATATATAACAGTGATGATGGTGGTGGGATGGGATAAAAGAGATTTTGGAGTGTTGTGGTGTAGTGGGTGGAGGTTTGAAAAATTGGGTTTGTGAGTAGCAAAATGAAGCTACGTGATTGAGGAAAGGATTTGGGAAATAATGTTTTGGACATTTGTCCAAACTGACTAGTTTATTTCAAACGGTACACGCTTTTTCGCCCAAACTGCTCCGAATTGAAAACGGATTGTGTTTTTGGAATCAGACTGTCAAAACTAGCATTTTGATGTAATCAAAATATTTTTCTGAGAACTTTTATTTTTTCTCAGTGTTCATTTTTGTCTCAGTCATAACTTAATTTTATAATATGAATGAGATAAAAGTATATGAATTAAATTCAAATGATAATTATGGCGTTGTCAAGTGTCAAAGATTAAGAATTCTAATCTTATGAAATCCCTTTTGAATTGAGTTTAGTTTATGGGTCAAAGTTACAAATTTTAATATTTAAAATCGTCATAGCTTGAAACATATAAATCAGATTGATTCATAAAATGTTCTGTTGGATTCGTCTCCTCGAGACATATCCATAAAAATATGTTTTTAGCAAAGAGTCCTTATTTTGAAAATCCATTTATGTTTGTTCAAACGTATAAATATTCTTTATTGGACAAAAACTATTTTTGTTTAATAATAAATTCTAGGACTTATTTTGCGGCGTTACAGATACGCAATTGGGCCAATGGTTTCAGTTATCTCAAACGGTCCAATGAACCTGGGACTCAGCTTTCCTTTCTTCCCAAACCGAAGAACCTTCCTCCACGGAGATACGTTTAAAAAGACTTTCTCCCCTACTTCATAATGAATCTCTCCCCGCTTCAAATCGGCGTAAGACTTCTGTCGATCAAAAGCGGCCTTCAGTTTCTCTTGGATGAATTTCACTTTCTCCTCTGTCTCTCGCACTAAGTCGGGCCCCACCAATTTGTGTTCCCCCAATTCAGTCCAAGAGACCAGAGTTCTACATTTCCGCCCGTACAGTGCTTCGTACGAAGCCATTTCTATGCTCGCTTGGTAACTATTATTGTAGTCAAATTCCATAAGTGGTAAGTACTCCCAATTACCTTAAGTACTCCCAATTACCTTCTTGGACATTACACAAATACGCTTCACATTTCTTTCAAACCAATCTCTTTGTTTGCATCAACGATATGAATTGCGGTGTCTTCGGTGGCAAGTCGCCGGTTATCAGAATCCTTCCTTCACCTCCAGCTTTTAGTTGGAGAGTCCTTGACCCACAATCTATTATTGCTTCGTGGGCAGTTAACCAATCCATCCCCAATATGACGTCGAATTCCCTATGGGGAAGTTCAATAAGGTCTCCGTCGAATTGTCTCTCCATAGTGAATAGCGAACAACAACGATAGACGTAGCTTAGTGTCATGCTATGACCGAGCGGGTTAGACACAATCACCGGGTGAACTAACCTCTGTTGGAGTTGTGCCCTGATGGCCAACTGTTTATCATTATTCTATCATCTATAGGCAGATATAATATGTTTACACATCTCATGCTAATGTAAACAAATATTATATTCCTAGATTTATATTTAAAGATGTTTATCAGATAGTGTTATTCAGCTGATGAGACTAACATCTTGAAATAAATATTTATCTGAATGTCCATAGTCGAGTATTAACGAGAGTGGGATATCGTTAATGCATGTGAGACTAGTGTGTGTTGGATGTTTGACTTAGTCTCATAGTCAATGACAGTGTGTTCGCATCCGCACATGGGCAGATATTATCTAGAGATAATAGGATGCCGGACTGACCGATCCTAAAGATGTTGCTTGAACTTTTAGTTCATGCTCTAAATATCTTTAGCGCGACCACGGGTGTAACTATCCTTCGACTTGAAGTATTATGTTTTCTGCATATGTGAACCCGCATACTTTGATGCATTGTCCTAAGCCATATGAAATAAGGATGGTATACAAGCTTTGTTTTGGGTATGCCGCAGCGCGTATTCAGAAACGTAGATTACGTACATAGGATTTGTCACTACTCTTTTTAAAAGAGATTAATGTCTTATGGGGCCCACTGATAAGT